GAGGACGTTTTTTTACAGAGGCTTACGAAAACCATTATAACTTCATTTCATTCTCCTTCCCAAATTTTATTACTGTTATATTGCTGTCTTACACTCCCACTAATTTTGACCCAAATATATCAAGGATTTAGCACAACCTAATTCAACTTAACATCACAATGGTCAAATAATAGAACCTAGCCAGGATAAATGTCAACCAAAAGAATCACGAAGATTTGGGACATAAATCAAATCGTCAATATGCTTGAAGCTAATACTAGTAGTTGAAACATAAGAAAATCTATATGATCTCTGTCGGGTATCAAATTGCAAATCTTTTCTACATTGAACGCAGGCCAATTGGAAAGAAACAATCCAGTGCCAAACCGTTTCAAGGAGTGCTTGAAAGACCTAATAAGATACTGTGAATACCTTCTGAAGGGCAACTGGGACTGCAGGGCCTTTGGCTTTTGCAAAACCAATAACACCATTATAGTTTCCACAAGCTACCATAGCAGTATACTTCACAACTTGTCCTCCCTAGATCAAAAGGTTCAAACCAACTAAGAACAGACAGAAAACAAAGAGGGAGGCAACAACAGGAAGCACAAATTTATAAATTACCTTGGTGACTTTACAAGTTCGGTTCATGTCTATCAATCTTGTATCAAAACCCTAGTATAAGCAGAAAACCAAACCATGAGTCAGTTTTATTATAAGCATAATAAGAACATGGGATAAATAACGAAGTTTATGTAAACAAGCAGGGCAATTGAAGTGCACAACATAAGAATCAATTAGAACTTCAAAAAAGATCAAACAACAAGGATACAATGTCCTTGAAAAAAAGATCAAAATATTAATTTGTGCTTCGTAAACAGGACACTGGATAAATAATTAAGGAGGGAGAAAAGGGAGTAAAACAAATAGAATTAAACTAGTTGAAATTATATACGTTTTTTTTCTCTTAATTTTAGGAGTTTTTTAATGACTTGAACACCCTTGCTGGTAGTTTTCTTCGCTCGATCAAACTCAGAAGATCCTTACAAAGTAGGATTGTCAGGAATATCAATTTATTTTACTATCAATTCACCCCATCCAATTCCTTCCACAAAATGATTCCAAAACCGAACATAACATGAAGTCAACTAATTTGATCAGGAGAAGGTGGGAAGCGCCTCAAAATCTTTGTTTCATACTCTCACTGACAAAGCATACAGAAAAGATTTTTGCTTTCTACGCGGAGTACCATAAAAAAGTTATTCTGCTAATACGTAAAACAAAAGGCAGTGATAAAAGTTTATCTAAAAGAGTAAGCTCCTACTAAGTGAATTCGTCTCTAAAATGAGCCAGTAAGAGTGTATTCACCGTTGGGGCACTGAAATCTTAACCCACTACAATTCAGCAATCAATACACAATTTGCTGGCACACTTTAGAGAGTGGTTGGTATAGTCGAGTAATTGAACAAGGTAAAACATGGTGTGGGTCAAAATGCCAAGCCAAGTATAGTGTTTGGCTCCACATCCAATATATGGTTTTTCATGGTTGCTTTTAAACTAATAATTATAGCTTCCACATCCTAAACATGATTTCTTACTTCTCAACAGGTTACCAAACACCAAAAATCAGAGAATTATGCACAAAACAACCTCCAAACATGATTTCTTACATCTCAACTTGTTACCAAACACTAAAATCAGAGAATAATGCGAGTACAAAAAAGCTACCTTCCGGTAAAGCGGCTTTCTCTTCTGCTCAGTCAATTCATTTCTCTCCTCAGCAAGATCCTTGATCTCTTCCTCCAGTGCCTTCCCCTTCCTCCCAAACGTATATTCAAGCTCCGCCAGCTTCTCCTCAAGCTTCCTGTCAATAGCCTCAAGTTTAGCCAGCAGTACATTATCTTTCTCCTTCATGTCATCAAACTCCTCCTCCTCCTCACCATCATCCCCTTCCCCAATTAACTTCTCCTTCTCCAACTCAGCGTCTTCCCGTGCATCCGCCGCGGCAGCAGCATCCTGCTGCTCACGCTGTATCACACCATAATTGGCAGGGTTATCAGGATCATAGGCCTCCTTCCACTGCACCAACCTCAACGCCCTGTTAAGCTTATTCTGCAGAACAAACCTATCCTTCTGCTCCGTCACCACCTTGAGCAGGTTCATGAGCTCGCCGATAACCCTATATTCCGGACGTAGACGAAAATGCTTGTGCTCGAACTTGTCAATTTTGGTCATCCACTTGAAGGCGTCATCGAGGGTTTCGGCGTCGGTGAAGCTCTTGAGAAGGTCCTGGTGGCGCTCGAACTTGCGCTCGAAGTCGCGGTGCCGTTTGTCGGCCTCTTCCTGGGTTTCCTCGTCGGAATCTTCATCGGAGTCCGTGGGCTCCTCGTAGCGATTCAAGTCCCCCTCCGATTCCTTCTCGTTCTTCTTTGTCAGCTTCGCGATGAGTGGCTCCACGCCCATGTAATCCTGCTCGGGCTCGGCGTCGATGTCGGCTGTGTCCAAACCGAGTCTCAATCGCTCGTTTCTCTCCCTGAGTCTGTCGCGCTCCACCTCCGCTCGAAGGTCCAGCACGATTCTGGCGTCCGAATTGGTGGAGAAAGGAACATTTCCGAGAAAAGGAGCGCGTGACCTCGGTTGCGATCTGGCAGAATTTGTTACGATGCCGGTGGCGGATTTGAATCTGAATATGTGGCGGAGATTTCTTCCATAGTGGATGTAACCCATTCAGAGTGATGTATCACTCTTTCTCTGAGACAAATGAACTGCAGTTGCTTGGTTGAGAAGAGAAATGGAATATACATTAAATTAGTTGGAAAAACAGAAAGTGCAGAATAAGAAATTACGATATAATTTGTTTGACACACCTCAGAAGTAAGAAGGAACGGCAATTTGTGGTGGCTTCAACGGCGGCACTGAACTACTCTTATGTGCATTCTCTCCGACTGCCAACAGAGGAAGAGGGTTAAGGGAGTCGTTCAGGGTTTTTGCTTTATTTATTTATTTATTTATTTGCATATTTAAATAATTTTGTGTATATTCAGTTGGACTAATGCTTACATAGTCTCGTCAAGAAAATAAATAAATAATTGGTGTAAGAAAATTTATTTACCCAGATTTATTTATTTGTGTATAGTTAGTGTAAATTTCTTTTATACTGCTGGGTACATACTTAATAAAATTGGATCTCTGTATGCAAATTATTTAATGTTTGTTTTTCAAAAGTATGTATTTTTGTAAGAGCTTGTTTTTAAATAATTAGATTTTAATTGGTTATTTAATCTACGGTATTTTTTTTATTATAAGAGTTAAAACAAATTTTACCCGATTTTATAGTGCACGTAGTCATCTGAATTTGGGGTCTCTAATATTCTTTTGGGCCTAGCACTAACACTTCAATTGACCCAATATCCTGACCTACCCATATCTCTCCTGAAGGTATATGTATCACGCGGTGTAGTGAGATTGATAAAATTTAAATGGTATTAAATAAATAAATGTTTGTAAAATAAAAATTTATTTTGTTCTAAATTTTCAGGAGTTAGAAATTCTTTCAATTGTTAAATAGGATAAAAATCAGTTTGTATTGAATTTGTTAAGCTCAAGAAGTTAGAAGTTGTAATATTAGAGGACTAACAAGTATTGAGTCAATTTGCAAGCATCTAAGTGCGGTCGTCCACTAAAATTCTCGCCAAAATAGTCAAGGTTAACAGGATGAGCAGAGAGGAATGAAGTAGAGAAAAACTTGATCAGTGAAAAATATGTTTCACAATTCAAACAATCAATTAAGTGAGTATCTTCAATTTAAATTTTAGAAAATTTAGATTCTTCCTTTATATTTAATTGTTGGTCAAAACACTAAGGCTGGTTAAATTTCATTTCTTTCAGGATGTATTAGCATTTGAAATTCAAAATTAGAAAAACTTTATATATTACTCTTCTCACTTTTTTAAATCTTTTAGATATGAA